TTTGGGTTTGTGTTCAGATTTTTCTAGAGCTTGGGTTTCAAAGTGTTCCATGTAGAGGTTTGCAATGACAGGTGAGAGGGGTGATCTCATGGGTGCTCCTTCTATTTGTTTGTATTTTTGTCCATTATAGATGAAGTATGTGTTGGATAGACAATGGTTGGTCAGATCTAGGATGTGTTTTGGGGGGTTATATTTGTTTTGGATAGCTGTCAAGGCTTCTTTGATTGGCACTTGGCTGAACAGGGATATGACATTGAAGATCACGAGTAGGTCGCTGGGCTGTAAGTTTTGTTTCTTTATGATCTCTAAGAAATGGAAAGAATTTTTTACATGTGAGGTGATGGATTCTGTATAGGGCTGAAGTTGTTTGGCGAGAAATTTGGATAGGTTTTGTAGAGGTGAGCCTATGGAGCTGATTATGGGTCTAAGTGGGGTTCCTTCTTTGTGTATCTTGGGGAGACCATAGAGCTTAGGGCATCTGGATGATTTCTCTCTGGGAATGATTCTTTGCTGGATCTCTTCGCTACTGGGGGAGGCTTTTATTTTGGATCTGGTGGTTTTTTCCAGGTAGGTGGTGGGATCTGTGTTTAGGTGTTTGTATGTAGAGTCTTGGAGTAGGTTGGTTAATTTGGTTTGGTAGTCAGATGTGTTCATAACCACCGTGACATTGCTCTTATCTGCTGGTAAGATTATTATGCTGGTGTCTTTTTTCAGGTTACGTAGTGCTGTCTGTTCCTCTTTGGGTAAGTTGCTTTTGGGTGGCTTGCTGGTGCAGAGGATGTTGGTGATTTCGAGTTTGATTCTGTTAGCGTCGTCGGGGTTGATTTTGGTCAGGCTGGTTTCAACTCCACATATAATGGTTTCAGTGGGGATGTGTTTGGGAGCGACTGCAAAGTTGAATCCTTTGGAAAGAACATTGGTTTCGGCTTTGGTGAGAATCCTATCTGAGATGTTATGCACTGTTTGTTTCATGTGTGGCTGTAAGGGAGGAGGGGTTTGTTTCTGGCATTCTTGTAGTCTTTGGAGTCTTGTAGTCTTCAGAGTTTGTTGGTGTGTGTGTGTCTGTCTTGAGGGTGGTCTGTGTTTCGGCTCTCCAGACGGCGAGTTGTTTGGATTTGTCCCAAAGTGTGGGGTGGATCTTGTTGCTTATATAAGTGTGTGTTTGTGTGTGTGTGTGTGTGTGTGTATTTGTTTTCTGAGGTTTTCGCGGGTGTTTGTATGTAGGTCTTTGATTGTTCGGGTTTTCTCCCGCATAAAATTGGAAGTGTCTTGGCGACGTTTCGACGAAGTCCCATTTGTCATCTTCAGGCTGGTGTTTTCAGCTTCGTGCTTCGAGGAGCAATGTGTGATCGTAGCTGTTTCTTCCTTTTAACTGCTAGTGGGGGTATGAACTGATGTGAGCTTGGCTGTATGTGTGTGTGTGTGTGTGTGTGTGTGTGTGTAATATGTGTCTATAATATTTTTATAATATGTGTCTATAATACCTTTATATAATGTTATTCCTAGGGTTAGCATTAAAAATAAGATTACAAATAGAGTTATACCTTTCTTTATCCCACTATTATATAGTATAATTTATAATACTCTTAACACCTCTTATCTATATTTCTATAACACTACACACAATACAAATACATATGTTATTCTCTAAGTATTATCACCACTCTTAATTTCATTCACTATCACTCTTATTTGAATAATCACCTTTCTTGTAATAGGAGTAAAGTTGGAAGGGACCTTGGAGGTCATCTAGTCCAACCCCCTGCTCAGGCAGGAAACCCTACACAATTTCGGACAAATGGCTGTCCAGTCTCTTCTTAAAAACTTCCAGTATTGGAGCATTTACTGCTTCTGGAGGCAGGCTGTTCCACTGATTAATTGTTCTCGCTGTCAGGAAGTTTCTCCTTAGTTCTAGGTTGCTTCTCTCCTTGATTATTTTCCACCCATTGCTTCTTGTCCTGCCTTCAGGTGCTTTGGAAAATAGCTTAATTCCCTCTTCTCTATATTTCTTTACTATGCTATAATTACTTTCTCGCTTCTATTTAATTCAATTACTCAATTATGCTTATTTCTATTTGTTAATACAATTCATTTGCTTCATTCCTTTTAATATATTGCCTGATGTCCCTTTTCTACTTGTTGCTTAGTCACTGCTTGTATATGGGTGCAACAATATTGCATCAGCCTTTTTTCTCTCTGTCTCAATTTAATGTATCCACAGATCCACCAAATGTCACCTCTTATTTCTTCTTCTATATATCCAATATTTCCAAAACATCCGTTCATCACTTTACCCAGATATATGTCAGTTAAAGTCCAAATTTCAATGCTATTTGATCTTCAAAAATAAGTTCCACTAATTAGTATTAAATTTCTCCGTTGTCTCACTTCACCTTTTAATCCTTATGTTAATTTTTTCAAAGTCTCTTAATCACCCTTTGTTACCTCCGGCCATCCTTTCTCTAGTCCTTTCTCTAGTTTCAATCTCTACTTCTTGCAGCTCTTAAATTCCGATCTTTCATGTTTTATAAACTTTACTGTGGGCTCTCTGCTTCTTCTCGCTGCTCTCATTCTGCTATATCGCTCCCTTCTCTGCTCTATTCCATTTCAGTTGCTGCTGTGTCTCTCTCCTTATCGTTTTGCTTTTTCCGTGCCTTCTCTCCGCCAAATATTCCTCACCTCCTTCAGGGGTTTTCCTTGTCTCCCATACGAAGCTGTCAGTTCTACTTTTTGCTTCTCTTTCAGACTGCCGCCATCACTCCAGGCCGCTCTTGGAGACGGGCTTCTAGTCCACAAATTTAAAAAGTGCTTCTCCTGTCTACTCGGATGTTTGCTTTCCACCCGGCTTCTCTGAAGCTTCCTCTTTAATTTACCAATCTCTCCGGGATCAGTAAAGCCCTTGCCAGGCTCTTAGCGAAGATTTTTCGGGATTTAGGAACAGAGGTCTGTTCCTTCACGCACTCTACGATGACATCACAGCCATATTTGTTTATGTTCCTCTTGTTATTACTACTATTACTAGTAATATAGTATATAAAGTTGTACAGAGAAAGGATTTCAGGCAGATTTTAATACTATTTTAATTTGGAGATCAAAAAGACAATAGTCACAGTTAGCACATGTTTTATGATGTCATATTGCTTCTGAAAGTCTTTTTGAGTGTCATATTCTCGCATTTCTATTTAATTTACACATAAAAGAAATATTACCCAAACTATTGTACACTTATACACTTACCCCCCCCCACATTTCCTCCCTCCCACCCCCAACCCCCCTCCCTTCACTTCCCAGAGCAGAATACAGGGTTAATAATTAAAAAATATATAATAATAAGAAAAAAGAAAAGAAAAAGAAAAAAGAAAAAAAAGAAAAAATAATAATAAAAAAGGAAAAAAAATTATCATACTTAACCTTTAACTCCAATAGCCTATAAGACAATTCCCTGTAATATTTACTATAATATTGATTCATAAAATAAGTGAAACTTTTTAGTTCCATACTTTTTCTGAATATAATCTATCCATCTTCTCCATACAGTAATATATCTTTCTTGGGCAAAGAATCTTTCTTCCAATATAAACCCTTTAAAACCAGAGACATTCCCATACTGTGTTATAAGTTCTAATAAACAATCAATCGCTTGATTCGGTTGTTCCAAAATTATCTGCAAAAGCCTGCAATTTATCCTCATTCTTCCTTATCTTTACGCCCTTAACTACCTTTGATTCTCGAATCTGAATCAATAAAATTTCCAATGTTAAAACAAATAACAATGGGGATAATGGGCATCCTTGTCTTGTCCCTTTTTCAATATTAAAATTCTCAGTCAATCCCCCATTTACAACGATTTGTGCGGATTGTTGCTGATATATAGCTTTAAGTGCATGTAAAAAATTATCCCCAAAATTCATTTTCTCTACCAATGAAAATAGAAATTTCCAATCTGGGCCTTTGACCCAAACTATTGTTATATATAATTTATAGTATTGTTTTACTGGTATTTATCTTAAATTGTTTTATTTTTCTGTTTGGAATAACTCAGTCAACTGCTGTTTATTATAATGTTTTGAGAACAAATGTGCATGTTTTCTCTCCATATGTCACACACATTTTCATCATGAATGTGCGAATAAATTTCTGTTTCAAAATTTGTTTGGCAAGGAAAACTTTTCATTGATAGTAAATGCTTGACTAAGCAATTTTCCTGTAAGCTTGAATTAGTATTAATATTTCCTTACAACATCATATACTTAAGACCATTACTCCCATGAATAAATATGTTTGAATTAAAAAAAATGTCTGCTTTCTTAGCTATTAAAACTTACAGAGATGCTTATCTTCAATTAAGTAAGGTCCTTCCTCTTTAGAGTTTATTTTCAATCACATCTCTAAATGTCTCTTTGAGGACACATAGAGTTAAAGCTAAATTTACATACCATTCGAAAGAAACAATAAACAAACCTAGAAAGGAAACTTTCTAGGAACATATTCTCAGCCATAATTAATACAAGGAAAACATCAGAAAAACAATCAGGCAGAAAAATAATATAATGAAGAAACCATCAAGAAGAAAACCATGCACCCACTAAAATTAGCAAAGCAAGCTACTAGATAAAAAAAGGCATCAAGCTCACATTCACTCACACTTATGCTATTATCTAGCTGGGTAATGAAATGTTGGCAAGGAAACAACCAAGCTCTCTACAGTTTGACTCTCAACTACATATATTCTCTTCTACTGGAATTTCAAAGCAGTTTGACAGTAATTTGGTTCCTAGAATGTCCTGTTTAAGCACTTAAAATAATGTGCTTTTGTTTTATTTATTCTTTAAAATGTAGAAAATTAAAATGCTTATTTTTACATAGATATTGTTATCTATGATGATGATTTAAAAAAAAAATCTCTGTTTTTCTTTTGCTTAGGCCAAAAAGGGATTCTCCATTTCTGTTCAGAATTAAGTTTTCCATGGCCTGCTTTTAATTTGTCTTTTCTCCCAAAGATCTTAAAGCTGTGAATTTTATCCTCAATTATGAATTGCAAAGAAGAGATATGCTGATCAGGTATAGGATCTAAAATAACTTCTTAACTACAATCCTTATGAGGGAAGTAATCATCTTCAAATTTAGTCCCTTAATCCCATGGTACAGAGATGAGATTATATCAGTGGAAGAATCCATTTCCATAAGAAGAGACAAAACCAACTGAACTGAATATATATTAAGGTGAAAATCTTTTTTTCTTTAACTTCATGAATGGCATTTGATTGCATTTAAAAGTATTTAAAGCTTAAATATGAGGAAGAGAAGTGAATGGTACTAAAAGTCCTCGGCCTTTGGAAAGTTGGGGAATTGTAAATTATATATAAAATCTCTATCAATAGAGTGGGAGGACTGGATAATAGGAAAATTCATTAGCAGAGTTAATATGCTGGTCTTCCTTTCTCAGATGCAGAGCATGAAGATTCATACCTTAAATAGAGATTAAAATAGGGTAAGTAGTGCCAGTAAATTTAACTTTTTCACCTAAGGAATGAGATATGTGCATTCTGGATTTCAAATACAAGTGATTGCTTTTTATCTCCATAATCCAAGATGCTGCATGAAATAATTACAGCCACAATATAGCAACCTAATTTGAATGTTTGTTATGTTCCTTTATATTGCATTTTAGTACTGTGAAAAAGCATGTGCCCCATTTTATTTAGCATTTGTTAAGGCAACAACTGGTAGTTTTATTTTTATTTTATTTTGAGAGAGAGAGAGAGAGAGAGAGAGAGAGAGAGAGAGAGAGAGAGATATGACAGATAGAGAATTTTACGTTTGTATATTTGTGTCACTTTTTTTAAGTATTGCTTGTTTTACCTTTTCTAATATGTAGTTAAAAGCCAGTAATATGAGAAACCTACAACATGAGAAGAATTTCTTCCACAACCTTAGATTCCATTCCCTATTTTTATAAATAAATTTAAAGAGCAGTTAATTATATTAACTACAAAATAACTACTACATTAAGCATTCCTCATTATTAAACAAAAAAGAGGACCAATTCTCTAAGTAGACTTAATGTTGGAGGGGATGTGAAGTGAATCTGATCATTCTGTTTTTAGTGTCTGATTTGTGACTTTTCATTTGATCAGTGGTTAATACTGAAAAGGATAGATAGATAGATAGATAGATAGATAGATAGATAGATAGATAGATAGATAGATAGATGCTAGATAAATCACCAGACATAGCACTTATAAAAGACTATAAGGCATACATTATTTTCAATGTCAGCATCCCATGATTCTCCCTCTAATTTCTCAACTATCAAAAAATGGGGCAGAAAATTGAAAATTAAATTTTATTTGCAATTCTTTAAACATGAGTAGAACTCTACTGAATTCTGGCTTCTTTGGAAGGAAGAAGTTCATCTAGTCGAATGTTAGCTGGATTTATCACATTATTTCCTCAATATTTTGTGCCAAAGAAAAAAGACACAAAGGGGATAATCTTCAACCAGCATCCTGAAGAAAATTATGAAATAGAAACACAAAATGTCATCCACTTCAGAGGAAGACTAAAGCTCTGCTGATACATTTTCCTGAATGGATGGAATCCTGAAAGTGTAAAGAGAATGGAACTGCCCTGATCTCCATTGCACATTTGCATACTTAAGCAGAATATACTAGTATGACATCTACTTTTGCCTTCCAAATGTAAGGACAGTAGTAGACATGATCTAAGAATCCAATGAAGCAAATGTAAGTAGTGCTCACTTTCAGATGTTTTGCCAGAAAATATATGAGATCTTGGAAACTCAGAAGCTTAGCTGTGTGCACAGATCTTTCCTACTCACTGCAACACTTCCTTGCCTTCAGAAAAAAAATATAGAAATTAGGAAAGATAGCTGGAGAAGAATTGTGGAAGCATCCAAAAACATCACAGACAACAAGGAAAGCATTTTCATGTGAATTAGAATTCTTTTTGATTTTACAGCTCTTTAAAGGGATAATTGAAAGAACTGAACTAGTCCCTTCTTTTTGCTACATGGAGGCTGCAATGAAGTGAAAAAATGTTTTGCACTCTCAGTCAGGTAATACTTGGGAGAGCATTTAGAGCAATTGAATTTATTTTGTATTTTAGGATGAAATTATAATTCCAAATGAAACCAGTTCTTTCTGCCTGTCTCTATCATACATAACATATAGAACAACAAGTAACAAATCCCATTTCTTCAATCCTATTGAAGCCCTCATATGTCAAGTAATAAGTCAACCTGTATGTTTAAGAATGCAGCATTAGTAATTAGTATCTCTCTCTCTCTCTCTCTCTATCTCTCTCTCTCTCTCTCTCTCTCTCTCTCTCTCTCTCTCTCTCTCTCTCTCTATCTATCATCTATTTCATATTATTATAAAGCCTTTATATTTTAAAACATTATTTCAAATGATTTTATTTTCATTCTATCATATTAATTATAATATTAAAATGATTTAAATCATAATTGTTTCAAAAATGTTTTGAAATAAAAAGCATAAACTAGAATTATCATTTATGGATTTTTTGTGTTCTACTTCAAAAATGTGGATATAAGTGATAACAGCTTAATTGATGTTGCTTCATATCTCTTCTATCTCTTTCAAATCACAGATTTTATTTTAAATGGAAGACACCAACCAGACAAACGTCAGCTTCTTCATCCTTTTGGGATTCCCTACCAATGCAGAGCTTCAGATTCTTTTCTTTGTCCTCTTCCTCTTTGCTTATCTGATGATTGTAATGGAGAATATCATAATCCTTGTAGTTATTTGGGTCAACAGTAACCTTCATAAGCCCATGTACCTCTTTTTATGTAACCTTTCTTTCCTTGAAGTCTGGTACATTACTACTATTGTCCCTAAAATGTTGGGAAATTTTCTATCACAAGAAAAACACATCTCCTTCCAGGGCTGCCTAACACAATTGTATTTCTTTGTCAGTTTTATGTGCAGTGAATTTGTTCTTCTGGCTGTTATGTCCTATGACCGTTATTTGGCTATATGCTATCCACTTCGTTACCCAGTCCTCATGAACAATAATTTCTGTGCTTGGCTTTCAGCAGGATGCTGGATATGTGGTTTTGTCACCTCCATGATCAAGCTTAGCTTTATTGGTCAACTGAAGTATTGTAACACTTACAAGATCAATCACTATTTCTGTGATATTTCACCCCTCTTGAATGTTTCTTGCACTGATTCTTCCATAGCTGAACTGGTAGACTTCATCCTGGCTCTAATGGTTATCATGGTTCCCCTCTGTATGGTTGTTGCATCATACATTTACATCATTTCAACCATCCTGAAGATTCCTTCAGCTCAGGGAAGAAAGAAGGCTTTCTCCACATGCAGTTCTCACCTCACAGTGGTTGTACTCTTTTACTCCACCACACTCTTCACCTATGCACGGCCCAAAGCTATGTATGCCTACAACTCTAACAAAGTTGTGTCAGTGCTCTACACTGTGATAGTTCCTCTTTTGAACCCTCTAATATATTGTCTCAGAAATAAAGAGATAAATTGTGCCTTGAGGAAGACATTTTCACGCCAAGGAAATATTTAGAAAAGCTCTTTATCATCATAGGAAATAGAACACTATTAAAAATTCTTTATTACTTCTCTTTCATTTATCTCCCTTTTTCACAAACACAACTCAAGTATTTTTGTATTTTTATGTATTTATGTAACTCATAATAAAATAAAACTCAAACATCTGGTTTCACTTTTTGAGTAAATATAATTCTATATCCATAAAACCATAGAGATATAAACTTGATAGAGGCTGTTAAAAGAAAATTGTGGTCTTTTCCATGTCTGGTTTAATGAGCACAGGATGCCTGTATGAGGAGACTGCAACTTTTTTTTCAAGTTTTTTATTAATTTTACAATATTACATTTACATATTTGAAAAGTAGCATGGTGACATGAGCACAGTAATTCCATTACATTTAAATATCATCAGTACAAATCTCAGAATATTACAACAACTAATTCCCTCTCTTTCCACCATAAAATCTACTGTCATATTCAGATTAATACAGTTCTTATTCTATCAATCAAACAAAAAACCTTTCTAATATTCATCAATAACCTTCAGTCTATACATATCTTAATTAATTTGAAATTCCATCTTTTAGACAATAACCTAATAAGTTTTTTCTTAACTTTAATTTCCCATTGATATTTAAATTTAATGTTTAATCTTTATCATTTCCAGATTTTAAATGATCCAATTGCTCAATCTCCTATCTCATATTTAGAGGTAATAATTTTTTTTCTTTTCTTCCTTCTTCTTCCTTTCTTCCTTTCCATAAAAAGAGAAAAATAAAAATTAAAAAAATAAAATAAAAACAAACCACCATTTGTATCACAAACCCATATACAAATTTAATTATTAGTATTTATACTTCTAAGTTTTATTTAACCTTCGTCTCAACTCATAAAAATATCTTAAATTCAAAACTTAGTTATTTGTAAACATTCAAACTTTTAGCCAATCAGTGACCTGATGGTTAATTTTCCCTTGATATTTTAATTTAACATTTAATATTTATTTTTTTCCAGATTTTTAATTAAACACAATTCCTTTATCACAATTCCTCATACATTCTAATATTTAAAATACATACCTTGTATATAAATTCTACCATCTATCTTACCAATCTAATAAGACAGTATAATATTCTTATTTCAATATATTTCTAGATTTTATATGACCAAAATTTTCTGTATCTCAAATCGTTACAATATCTTGTGTTCAGAATACATATTCTATCCATTTAGATATATTCTATTTTAGATCTCATGTATAGATCAAAACCCCAATCTTTTTCAATCTTATTCTAGCTTTTTTTCCTCTGCCAAGTCATTTTTCATATCTTTGCCTTTAAATCATCAAAAAAAAAATCTCTTTGTATTGTTGTGGCTATTGTTTGATGTTGATAAGAGGGTCCAGTTAATGTTTTCTTAAGAGGATTGGTTGATTTAGCCTGTGGTCTCTTTGTTTTTCCAGTTTGATGCGGTTGTCCTGAAGTATTTATCTTCTCTTTCATCTATTTTTCTTTTTTATCTTCAAATTCCTTCTGGTTTACAAAAAAAGTCCTTTCCTTGTTCTCTATTATCAGCTTCTTTTTTGTGTTTTCAATTGTCTGTATTTGTTGAGTATCTAAGTCTTCTGTCATAACATTTGGTTATTTCACTTTCTCTACAGAATTCTGTATAGATAATTTTTTGGTTGAAGTCATATTTTGAGTTTGTATATCCAGACTTATACCTAGAGTTTGGATCATTGTTTTTAACATACAAAGAATTTGTTCCTGTACTTCCTCTGTAGAAGAAATACATTTCTGTTCTTCTTCCATTGTAGTATATTAAACTCAAAAAAAGAAAAAGAAATTTACAGTCAGAAAGTCCACCAAATGATGAGCTGAGCTGAGTTTTTTGCAGATGGTGTTTCAAGGTTGCTTTATATCTTATCTATTTTTAAAGCTGTCAACAAATCTCTTGAAGAATAGCAGGTTACATCTCAGAGTTAGTTGGATCTTTTTAGTTCCCCCCTCCTCTATCTTAAGGGAAAAAAACTCCAAATCTTCAATAGTAATTAGAGTGAAAATAAAATAAAAAATATAGAGAGTAGAAAGTTACAAATCTTATAATCCACCAATTTTAGGAAATAGAATTCCAATTAGGATCCCAGTTTAAATTCTCAAGTGGTTGATTGCCGCTGTTTCTGGAGGGAGGGCTAGAATCCCCCTTCCCTCACTACAAGGGAGAAAGTACTTTGGCAGCTTATGCAGGTAATTAAGTAATTAGGATGGCAAACCTCACCCAATCCTGTCTGTGCTGCTTTGAAGTTGCCAGATGGTAATGTGACTTTGGCTGTTAGCAGCCTAGGGATGAGCCATATTTCTATGGCCAATCCTTTTGTCCGCCGGTTTGGATGGATTGCCTGCTCTGACGGGAGAGTTGCTGCTCTCCTGAGATCCAGCGAAAGCCCCTCCTTGCTGGTCACCTCTTCGGGACGACTTTTGGCCTTTTCAGGGCCCCCCAGCAATGCGAAACTGAATGGGGAAGAGAGAGCAAGTCTCCCAGCCGGAGTTTTATTGGTAATTAAATAATGCAGCATTCTTGAGAAGTCTGGGGAGGAAAATCATCCCTCACCCTGCGGGGTCTGAAAATCTTAGATATATAGATCTTTTTCTTAGAAGTGGATTTTATAGAGAGTTTTTGTATTTGGGTATCATTGTGATACAAGTCTTATCTTGAAGGGATTCCATTTTTTGGTTGTTTGCCAATGTCATAGAGACACCAAAGCTAAAAGCTCAATCACTTTTAGTTTCAAATGTAGGCAGGGAAAATTTATGTGGCTTTTTTGTATCTTTATTTTGAGACTTGCCTGGCAGATCAGAAGTTGGGTTGCCACTTGTCCTGCCTAAAGGGGAGGATGGTTTTGCAGGGGTTTTTGTGTTCCAACAAAGCCATCTGCCAACTAGTCAATGCAACAATGTAAATGAAAGAATAATACAGGATGTCCACCTTTTCTTTAAATATATCAATGAAAGATAGCCAGCAGCTCCTTGGTTAATGGATTCAACTGGGAAACTATTCTTAATGTTAGAAAGTGATTTTTGTTTTTATTTCAGACTTTTTCATTTTCTTGAATTAAATTCCATGCTGATTTTTTTTAAAATCTCTTTTGATATCATTGGGACATTAGCTAATATGTGACACAATTAGAACATTTTCTTCACACACAAACACACACACACACACACACACACACTCAAACACAGACAGGCAGAGAGAGATATTGTCCATCCATCCATCATCTATCAATCTATCCAAGAATATATATACACACATTATATATCTATACCAGGGCTTTTCAACCAGTGGTACACGTACTACCTGTGGTTTATTGGCACCTGGCAGATGGTACGTGACCATTCTAATGGGGAAGGAAAATGAGATGAACTGGCAGCAGCACCACGCAAGCCTGAGCGAGAGATGGCTGGAGCTGCAGGTCTGTCAAGGCTCAGCAGAAGTGCCAGGATCAGCGCCGGGTTCCAGCTCTTTCCTTCATGGGGACGGATGCAGGAGGGAGGATGAGGCTTCCACATTCCTTAAATCTGGGGCAAAGCAAAGCAACGGGAATTGGAAGTTGCCAGTCGGAAGTGGCCGACAGTGGCAGGCTTGGCTGCACGGAAGCGCAACGCAGAGGTGCCCTGAAAACAGACCTGAGGGAAAGCAGAGCAAAAGGGAAATCTAAAACCATCCCCCCCAAAAAACCCCACCTTCAGACAGCCTTTTCCCCTTCTTTCTGAATGTCCTGATGGTTCCCAGGCAAGGGGGGCAGTGAGAGAAATGGGGTGCCACCTGCTATGGGGGCTTCAACCTGTATTTCATTTTGGACAAGTAAGTGGTGGGGCATCAAGGCGGCTATGCTGGATGAGGCTGGACTGTGCGGGGCACTTTGTTTTGGGATGGGGCACAGCAGCCCTGGCAGTTTTTCAAAACACTGCAGCAGGTTTTTTCCCTTTGCTTTGGGTGCCAATTTGGACAAAAAATGCCTGGCGGATGCCGCGTTCCTCTTTCCTCCAGAGGATGTTGAAGGAAAAAGTTTGGCTCCTTTGCTGGTTTCTCTTTTTGCAATTTGCTTTTTGGGGGGTTAACAAAGAGTAGCTGTCAGCTGTGGCCTGTTTGGTTAGACTTACAAACACCCATTTCCAAAGTAAATTCTTTGCTCAGCTTCCTCATGGGATGCAATTCCTGCAGAGCAGCCGTTTAAGACAGGGGTGGGGAACCTTGGCTCTTTTATGACTTGTGGACTTCAATTCCCAGAATTCCTGAGCCAGCCATGCTGAGGGGAAAGAAAGAGGTTTCCAACCTGAGCCATGCTGGCTCATGAATTCTGGGAGTTGAAGCCCACAAGTCATAAAAGAGCCAAGGTTCTCCAACTTGGTTTAAGATCTCTGAACTCCAGAGTCAATTTGAAACTTGCTCCATGGCAGTGATGCATTATTGATTCAATCAATAATTAGAAGTTAGCATCTACATACCCATAAAAAGAAATATCTTTGAGAAATATTAAACAGGCAGGAACAATAGGAAAAGAGGTAGAAAACTTAACTCCAGAAACCAACTATTACAAATACGAAAGGCTGCTCCAAAGAAACATCCATTTCCCTTCTCTTAGAAAAGTCAAGCCAAAAAATAAAAGTACCAGAGAAGAGGGGATTCTCTCTCTCTCTCTCTCTCTCTCTCTCCCGCCCCCCGGCTCAGTTAATAGTCTCAGGCAGACAGCGAAGAAACAAGAAGCAAAAGAAACAATGTAGTGATAAGCGCTAGCCTTGAACAAACTAAAAGAAAGCTGGTTTTGACACCTTGCTAGGCGACTGGTGGTACTCAGATATTGCCATATCCTAAAAGTGGCACAATAGGTAAAAAGGTTGAAAATCTCTGATCTATACTGTCTATCTAGCCTCTATCAAAAAGCAGTTATTTTGATGAAGTGTTTTCATTTGATTAGTATCACAACTCACACACCAATGTTTGTTGCTGTTTGTTGCAATAGTAGTAGGAAAATAGTACAAAATAACAAATACTCATTTAAATACCCTTAATTTGTCAGTAAACAAGGCCTCTGTCAGGGATAGGCCTGCCTTGACATCTCAGTTGCAAAAAAATTTTCTTGAGGAATTTTTGAATGCAATGCTCAAACTATCTTTCTTCATGATTGTCATTATTGCTTTGCTAATATGTATAAATGACATTTCTAACTCTAAAAGATTGAGGATACTTGTTAATGGTGCTATTATTTTTATAGTGGATAATTATAGTAATTATAGTAATATAAAGTAATTCTGTGAATCATTCCTGTTTATCTGATGTTGTAGTAAATTATCTAATGTTTTATATAAAAAAGGAGATAGTCAAAGTGGTGTTAAGATAGTCATATGCTATTAAATTAACCAATTACCTTTGTAATAAATGCACTTTATCAAGAAAAATAAATTGTCAATACAACCATAGAAGCATAAAGGCTTCAGGCATAAAGGCTT